TACAGTTATAATCTATATGTCTGTAAGTTTAGCAGATAATTGAACGCAGTGGAGATAACTTAAGTTGATGTTATAGTATATTATTGCTGTGGGCATGTTGGGATACTCTATTACCATGAACTCTGGGGCTTTCTGAGATGCTTTTAGTGGGCCAGCAAAACTGTTTTCATCACAACGTTAAGACGTTCTGTGTCCTTTTCACTACATTGAGGCATTCACTGCTGGTACAAAAGCAATGGTAGCTAACACTGCTGGTGCCTTAGCATGAGTCCATGTATTGGCACCAACTCTACTAGTGGTCACTGTATTTTTCATCAAGAACTCACAGTTAAAGAAAAAATCACCCTGGCTGGTGTGGCTTAGTAGGTTGGGTGTCATCACACGCACCAAAATGTTGCCAGTTTGGTTCACGGTCAGGGCACATGCCCGGGTTGTGGGCTTGATCTCTGGTGGGGGTTGTGCAGGAGGCAGTTGATAGATGTTACTTCTCTCACATTGATGTTTCTCTCTCTCTCCCTCTCCATTCCTCTCTCTCTTAAAAAACATCAATAAAAATATATATTTTTTAAAACCCCACATTCACTTAAGAGTGTTCATGATGAATCAGTAGAAATTATTCAATTAATTAAATTTGACCTTGAGAACACATCTTTTTGATATATGTAACTGTGACAAAACGGGAAGTGCACATCCACATACAGTGGTTGTTTGGAGGAAAGGTATTTGTGCCATGGTGTACAAATGTATTTCTACCATGGGTGTGTGGTAGGAAGAATCATGGCTCCTAAATATGTTCATGCCCTAATTTCTGTGACTCTTTCACCTAACATGGCAAAAGGGACTTTGCCACTGTGGTTCAGGATAAGGATCTTGAGATGGGATGTTTGTCCTGATTATCCAGGTAGCCCCAATGTAATCGCATGAGTCCTTAAAAAGGGAAAGAGGAAGATAAAAGAGAAGGTCAGAGAAGCATGATCTGAGATGAACTAGACCTGCCATTGCTGGCTTTGCAGGTGGAGGAAGGGGCCATACTCCAGGGAATGCAGATGCCCCGGAGAAGCTGGGAAGAGCCCTGGCTTTGTAGGTGGAGGAAGGGGCCATACTCCAGGGAATGCAGATGCCCCGGAGAAGCTGGGCAGAGCCTTCAGCTGAGAGCCAGAAAGAAAATGGTCTTTGGTTGTGCAACTGTGAGGAAATGCATTCTCTCTCAGAGATTCCCAGAAAGAGCACAGTCTGCTGGCACCATGACTCTGGTCTCGTGAGACTTGTACTGGACTTTTGATTTACAAAACTGTAAGGCATTAGATGAAGTGTTTGGCAGTTTGTTAGGGCAGCAGCCGAGAAATACAAATGGTGAGCTGAAATAGTCACTTTTTCACGGAACACCATTTCTGCCTGAAAGAATGACTCAAAACAAAAGATGTTTAATCAGTGTAGATGTTATCTTGAAAATGGACAAATGATCTCACCACTTTAATGGAAACAACGGATAGTATTGATAGTTTGGGGAAAAAGTATTTATCACTGTGAACCTGCCAATACTGAAGACTTCTGATGAGACTGGTGGTGATGTTAACAAGTGTGATACTTTGGTAGTACTTAATAAAGTGTGTTAATGTCAGCATTTGTATTACTCATTGAACCAATATTATCCAAAAGACCAAAGCATGATGTACGAAGTCATGCATTGAAAAGATACATTCAAAGTATAAGGAAAAAAAATGGATTTTAATTCTAATGAACAAAATAGACATAGAGGCATGGATACATGGAACAGACTCAAAGCTGTCAGAGAGGAGGGGGTGTGGGGGCTGGATGGAAGAAGGTGAAGGGATTAAGGAAACACACACACACACACACACACACATATACACACACGTGTGTGTGTGTGTATCTCACATAGACACAGACAACCGTGTGGTGATAGCCAGAGGGAAAGGAAAGGGGGGTGGGGGTAGGTGGAGGTGAGCAAAGGAGGGATAAATGGGGGAAGGAGAGAGACTGCTTGGTGGTGGGTGCACGATGCAGTGGGCAGATGATGTTCTGTTGAGTTGTATACTTGAAACCTATATGGTTTTGTGAACTAGTGTCACTCCAATAAATTCAGCTAAAAATGGATTTTAATTGAATGGCATACGGAAAGTTCACTGCTATAGTATCAGATTTCACATTGCAATAGACTTGTGAACAAACTATCATTTATTGGTTTGAGGGATGGTGTCAAAAAAGAATATTTCAATTATCTGAAAGGGATCTTAAAATCCTCCTTTTTTCATTTATATATATTTGTGTGCTATTGGACTTTCTTAATATACTTCAACCAAAACAGCATATTGCAACAGATTGAATACAGAACTAGATAAGAGACATTTAAGGGATTTGAAAAAATGTAAAACAATACCAATATTATTATAAAATTTTTTGTTCTAAAAAATTAAGTTACTTATAAAAACATATGTAATAATTTATTGTTATTTAAAATGAATAAATAAATATTAAAAAATTCTGAATTGTAATATCTAATTTGGTAAATATTGATAAATACAGCCACACAAAAACTCTTACAAATTTCTCAATAATTTTAGAGCATGATAATTGTTATTCTAGAAAGCACTTTAAAAATAAGGATAAAGATATAGAATTATTGCCCTGGCCGGTTGCTCAGTGGTGAGAGCATCAGCCTGTGGACCAGAGAGTCCTGGGTTTGGGTCCCACCAAGGGCTCATACCTCGGTTGCAGCTTGTCCCTGGCTCCGGTTGGGGTTGTGTGGGTGGCAACTACTCGATGAGTCTCTTTCACGTCTATGTTTCTCTCTCTCTTTCCCAGTCTATCTGAAGATAAATGTCCTCGAGTAAGGATAAAAAAAATATATAAAATTATTGAGATGGAAACATGCCTAAGCCATATTTTCAAGCACAAAATATTGTGTTTAGAATGACCCTTTTTATTCAACATTTTATACCTATACTAACAATATGTGCATGAGATATGTCTGGAGGGGTGTTTACTGATAATTCAGTAGTGGTAATCTCTGGATAAATATTTTTTTATTTGTGATTGTCTTTTTGATTTTATTATTTTACAATGAGCTGGAATCAAAGAAAGCAACACAGCTATATTAGAAACCACATTTTATTATTTTACAGCAAATATCATTTTTATTAAACCACATAAAAAGTGCAGAATGTTCATAAAAACTGTTTTTATAGTGCATTCTTTATTAGACATGCTAAATAATAGTTGTAGTTTGTGGTCCAAACTTATAGCCCAACAATTTAACTTCGTAGTTTGAATCGACATAGTTAAGACAGTATATTGGTAGCTTGACCCAGTAGGTATTGATATTAGATATTTCATACACAGCTGTACATTAACTTTACTACTCCTTTTGTTTTCTACCTAGTATTTATGTTTAAGCCTTGGAAGACAGAATTATACTGAGGATGTTTGTAAAAATACTGTAAACTGCCCTGGCTGGTTTGGCTCAATGGTTAGAGCGTCACCCGAGGACCAAAGAGTCGCGGGTTTGATTCTGGTCAAGGGCACGTACCTCAGTTGCGGTTTGGTCCCTGGCCCTGGTCAGGAAATCATAAACAAACACTGACACAGAAACCTAGTGTTTGATGTCTAATTCATTTGATCACATCTTTCTCTCAAGTTATATTCATTGTCTTGATTCAGTTAACAGGATTTAATGAGCGAGTTGAGGAAATATGAACATATGGCAGTTTCCTGTCAGTAAAGTCAGAATAATGAAAGCATTACCTCAAAGGATGGTTGTGAGCATTGAAGGATTTAAAATATGTAAAGCATGTAGAATAGTGCCTGGTGCATAATAAATACCCGATAAATTATTTAGAAAGTGCACAAAGTAAGTCCTATTATTATCTAGGAAGTGCACAAGGTCTGTCTATAGCAAACATTATTTACAAATAGCTAACCTTTTCCAATATTCATTTATAAATTGTCCAGTGTGTACATTAGCAATGGTTATGAAGAGGCTCTTACCAGGTTTTCTGTTCAGAATAGGCATCTGCTTTTAGGTGTCTTTCCCCCTGTGATTAGTACTGTTTTCCCAAATGAAAATACTCTGGGCTCAGGCAAGAACCTTTGCAGTGTTCTGATCTGGGAAAGTGAGCGGAACCATTTTCTCTTCGATTATGTTTGTTCCTTCATTTTTTCATTCACTTTGCAAACATATATTGAGTGTGAGCCATGTGCGCTATGCTTTGTGCTAGTAATAGATAAGAAGGCACGAGGCATCTGTGGGAGAGAGATGCCATTGGGTGACCAAATATGGTTTGTTGTGTCTGTGGGTGATTTGGAGGGGCCTGGTGCTGCTACTGGGCTCTCGGCCTGGGAACCAGTTGGAAATGGTGATGGAGGGGAATTTCTCTGAAGGGAATCATGTTATCTTGCAGAAATCTGAGCAAAAGGGCCTCCCAGGTCAAAAGGGCCCCCGGGTTGAAGAGCAGTGTGGTTTGTTCTCGCTTGTTTCCGTTCTCCCAAGGACACTTGATCATCTGCTGATATTTCTTGGAGGCAGTTTGCATGGAATATTTATTAGTGATATTTTTATGTTCTTCATATTCTATTCACTAGGCTAAAAGAGAACATAAGTGTTTTTCCAATATTTATAGATCATCAAAAGTTCTAGGAATATTTAATAAAGGTAAGGAGGTTTCTGAAAGTTTTTACTTTGGGTTCTTTTAACCATGACTGGAGTTTTAAAAAAATGTAATGTTTATTTCTGTTTTATTTCAGAAACATTGAAAGAATACTCTTTCCCAAATTCTTTTTTTTTCCAAAGCAGTTTACAAACTTGTAGATTAAACATAAGGACATCATTGAACTGCTATCTGTATAAAGAAATCTTTTATTATAATTGCATGTTCAAATTTGGGGGCTCATATTCTTACCTTTTGCAGTAGTTTTTTAAACTCTTTTTTCTCCATGATCTTTTGCTGTTGTTAAATTGGAGTATTATTTTTGTGGAACTGGAGAGTTACTGTCAGGATGATCTGATGCAGTGCAGGGGCATCCAGACAGGAGTCTGTTAGCCTACTGGAGGTAAGTTTAGAAATGCCTCAGGAGCTGGGGAGTACGAGGTGGGAGAAAATAGTTCAGGGAAGCAGACACGCTGTGTGCCCAGGAAATCCATAATGAGGTAACACTGCATACCAAGCAAGGAGCCACAAGGGAAGAAGTCAAATTATATACAAGTCATAAGGTAATAAGCACCATGAGGATAAAAACAAAATGTTTTAATGGTTTATTCAATAAATATTTGTTGAGTGCCTACTCTACGCCATGGGTGTGAGGGAGATAATTTCTACTTAAAGAATTCAGGAAAGTTGATTGTTTTTAGATTATGATACATTCCTTGATGATTTAAAAAAGTTAATCTTATCTAGCTCATTACCATTTTAGAGACAGACCTCTCGTTTGTTTCCTTTTTCTAACTATGGAGTTTTGCAAAAATCTAGGGCTTGAGAGGAATCAGCATGAGAATGGGTAGGTGATTTTTGTGATATTTTTAAATAGATTCTAATCAATATAGATTTAATATCCATTTAAAGAATTTTTAATAATTTCAAACAACTTTTAGTAAAATGAAATTTAAAATATATTGATGAATGTTTATTGTACAAGTTGGAATATATGGAAACAGAGGCTAAGGCTGAAAGAGGGATAAGGAGTAAAATCTTACTGATGGATTTTTCACTAACAAAATGCTAGATGTAACTATAGTACTCATCTATTGCTTATTATAGTAATTATAATTTATAAAACTTTTAAGATATGAAAACTCCAAATCATAAGATTTTTATACTTCAAAAGAGAAATTAAGGCACTTAATTGTTTCTATCAATTAAAAGTATATTTGCATGTCATTAATATGTAATTGCATGCTACTTTTATGTACTCATTGTAGCAAGTTCCTAAGTGAATTCTATTAAGCCTGGTTTAATTGATCCATATAGTGTTTTTAATATAATGGAATATCATTAAAGTATTTTTGTAATTTAAATCTTGCAAGTTCTGGCTTGTCTTTATCAGTGAAATCATACTTGACTAGCAGGAGGGTTAGGTGAATGTCTTTGTTTTTGCTCATTTGTGTTTGAGGAACCAGTCTTAGTGCCCATGGGACAGAACACTGATATTTGCATCAAATGATTGTTGCAATTGAGCCTTTTTGTTCTCATTGGCTTTCAGAGTTATAGACACAGACACAGTATGGTGACCACCAGAGGGTTGGTGGGTGGGGGGTTGTAAAGTATAAATGGGGTCAAGTATATTGTGAAGGAAGAAGATTTGACTTTGGGTGGTGGGCACATAATACAATATACAGATGCTATATATAGAATTGTGCATTTGAAACCTATGTAATTTTATTAACCAATGTCACCCCAATAAATTTAATGAAAAAGTCAATATACAAAAGTACAAAAAAGTGTATTAAAAAATTGCTGAGACATTTTCTTCTAGAAACAAGCATAGGGTAGTAAAGAATCAAAAAATAATTTGTATGTCACACTTCTTTTATAGTTTTGGAGAACAGTCTACAAAAATAAACAGATGGCCATAGCAGTTATTCTTATAGTGCTCCAGCTCTCACTCAAAGGTATTTTTCCATTGATGTTTAGATAGAGTGGGAGGTAGGGAGAGAGAGAGAAATGTTGATGTGAGAGAAACACATCGACTGGTTGCCTCCTGCACCACCCTGACTGGGGCAAGGATCGGATCTGCAACCCAGGTACGTGCCCTTGACCCAGAATCAAACCCGAGACCCTTGGGTCCTCAGGCTGATGCTCTAACCACTGAGAAAACTGGCCAGGGCTCAAGTTGAAGGTTCTTTATGGTGCAAATAGGTTTTTAAATTTAATTTAATTTAATTTTATCCTTACCTGAGGACGTTTTTGCATTTATCTTTACATAGAGCAGGAGAGAGAGAGGGAGGAAGAGAGAGAGAAACATTGATGTGAGAGAGACACATCGAGTGTTTGCCATCCACGCAACCCCAACCGGGGCCGGGACAAACTGCAACTACATGCCCTTAGTGGGAACCAAACCTGGGCCTCTCTGGTCCGCGGGCCGACGCTCTAACCGCTGAGCCAAACCGGCCAGGGCTGGTGCGGATAGTTTTTGATATTTAGTTAGCAATTGGCTGGGAACAAGGGGCCCCTATAGTGTTACATTGAAGGTATGATGTTCACACTTTACGACAGAAACATTTACATCACGCCTACTGAAACCGTTTAAAAAGAGATGTATATAATACACACCCCAAATGACTAAAATGAAAAGTTATAGACATTGTCAACTCTCAGCTGCTCCATAAATTCTTGTAAGAAAATAAATGCTGATTTAAAAGAAAGATGACAATGTTCCCTGTACTTGGCCTATTGGAATGAACTGAATCCATAGTTCCCAAGATAAAACATAATTAAAACGTTAAGTATAATTATATTTATCTACTAGTCTCATTGCTTTGTGACTACACCTGAATACTACACTACATGCAGGGGCATATTACAGGATGAAATAAGTATTAGGTGGTTGTTTGTGGGTTGTTTCCCCATTGCTATCTTTATAGAAATGTAAAGGTTAATGTAAAGACCACCACACTAAGAAGGCTCTAGTTAGAAAAAACAGTGACAAATTTCAGTGGTGACTGCTGATGTAGCTGACTGCATCACCATCGGAAATGCTTTATTATCTTTGAATGAGAAACTACAGTCCCATGAGGACTTGTCATAAGTTTGTTTTTTTTGGAAACACCCAGTCCAATCTTATCTTTATTAAGTACATAGTTCTGCTGCTTTGACACAAGTCTTTTTTTTTAGAACTACTACATGATTTAAATACTCCGACTTATACTTGTCCCCAGCTTTTCTTTGTTGAGGAGCTTTGACTGGTGCCTTTTTTCCTGGTGAATCATTGACAGTCATGACAGGAATGCAAGTTGCTCCTGATGTCTGTTCTCCCTTCTCTAGCGATGGGATTTACTAGGTACGGATCCATTCAGAGCTAGGACCACATTTCCTAGCTTCTCTTGCTGCTAGGAATCCCTCTAGTTCTGGCCAGTGGAGTGTAAGTAGCTTTTTGTGTGCGACAGCTTCCATAGAAAGAGAGTGTCGCGCGCGCGTGTGTCTGTGTGTGTGTGTGTGTGTGTGTATGTGTGTGTGTGTGTGTGTGTGTGTGTGTGTGTCTGTGGTGAGGTGAGGTGGGGAGGGAATACCCCTTGCTCTCTTTACTATTCATTCCTTCTTCACATCTTGCTGCCTGGAATACAGCTGACACTGTTTTGGATAGTGGTATCGAGGCCCCCAAGGTGGAACAGGAAGGTAGAAGGGACCGGAGTCTTTGATTTTAATGGCATGATGGAGTACCAAAACTGCCCTGCACCTCCAACTGGACTTTTGTATGAGAGGGGAATAAACTTGTATTTTGTGTAACCAGTTGCTGTTTGGGGTTTCAGTCATAGCAGACAAACTCCATCCCAGTGATCCTCATAGACTTGGCTTCTAGTTAGGACTCAGGGGCAAAGGTGAACATCGCCACCCATGAAAGGATCCTGATTGACCCCCAGAACTGGAGACCCAGAGCTCCTGAGTCATACTTCCAAGGCTATCTACAACCAGAGATCTGGCCCTACCAGGACTTTCTCTCTGTATCTTTTCTTTCTTTATTTAAAATTTTCTTTTTTATTGATTTTTAGAGAGAGAGGTAGAAACATCAATGAGAGAGGATATCGATTGGTCACCTCCTGCATGCCCCCCATTGGGGATCAGGCCTATAACCTGGGCATGTACCCTGACCGGAATTGAACCAGCAACCTCTTAGTGCATGGGTCGATGCTCAACCACACCAGCCGGGCTGTATCTTGTTTTCTTTTAAAGATTATGCAATAGAGCCAGCATCTTTTTTTTTTTTTTTAATTGATTTCAAGAGAGAGAGGAAGGGAGAGGGAATGAGAGAAAAAATCAGTGTGAGCGCAAAACATCCATCGGCTGCCTCCTGCACACACCCTACTGGGGATTGAGCCCGAATCCTGGACATGTGCGCTGATCAGGGATTGAACCAGCAACCTTTCTGTGCATGGGATGACACCCAGCCACTTGAGCCACACCTTCTTGGCTTTAATTCTCTTTTCCTCTTAGTTTCATTTTGTGTTACTCCAGGCTTTCTTCAGTGAAGGGAGTTGGTCACCTGTGGCCAGACTGACTTCCTCATCAGCTTGAGACCTCAGCTGTGTGTCATCTACTATTGAAAAATATTGAGGAGCGACTTAGATTGACCTGACTTGGATCCCATGCCTACCCCTCTATCTGTCACTGGTCCAACTTGGATTGCATACCCTTCATCGTGGCCTACTTTGTGGGGAGGTGGGAGATTGGGTTAGGAGAAGGATTCAAGAATCAGCAGTGCCCACTAGAGCCATTTGCTCTAAATTAAAATGGGCACTATTTAGGTAAAACAGTGAGTATTTCAGTTAAGTAGTTCCCAGATGATTTAAGAATCATATTATTTCTTGAAAGCAGTCCATATATGAACACACACACACACACACACACACACACACACACACTGAAGGCTGCTAATTTGCTTTGAATTTACTTCTGACTTTGGATGTGAATTTTTGTAAGACACAGCTCAGATAGCTCCTTTGTTTGGAAATGTTAATGAAAATCAATTCTGGCCACATTTACACTGTACAGGTTAATTGCTAGTCGATACTGGACAGATCTCCCTAATTTCTTTGATCTTCAGTCATGTTGATGGTACTGTCAGCATTGAAGCATTGTTGTAATCTTAGTCCTTTCAGTGTAGATACGAGCAAGCATTTGGGGTGTTAGAAAATTAAGGCCGTTACCTCATGAGAAATAGTTCAGTGCCACACATTGTATTTAAAATTCTAAAGTGAGAGTTTTCTTCAAAGAATTAAAATTTGGCAGTTAAATGGTGGACATACATAAGAGTTGATAAATAAAAATAATTAGGGGGGTTTTGGTATACTAAGTTACCAGGTTACTTGAAAAACAATGAAAGGTCAGTTAACTGAAAGA